GTAACAATTGTTTGGTATTTAATTCATTTAAAATTAAATCCAATAAATTATTGTTTAATATAACAGACATTCTGTAATTAAATAATATTATTGTAATCAAATAAATCTGATATTAATTTTAGCAAATCTATAGAAATACCTTAAAAGTAGTTTTCAATTGTAACTAAATTTCATTTGAGAAAAACCATAGCTTTTGTGAGAAACATCTTCTCATATACTGTGTATTCAGACAATTAAAACATTAATGTAATTCAAGTACAACTGCAATATAGATGAGTATCGGTAAACTATATTCACTACAAACTCAATAATTAATACATTATGATTAAAATTAAATATTTCCTTAATTAATGAGCAGATATTAGTTGTTAAAAATAACAGCTATAATAGCTGAGCTATTTTAGATTCTATCAAATACATTATGAGTAACATTAAACATTACACTTGCTTGATAAGCAGATAATTGTCATTTAAAAAATTCCATGGGTATTTTATAACTAACATTATGAATAGTTAATTTGATATAATCATGTTCAATTAAAACATTTTACTCATACAGTATCAAAATAATATCAAGGTTCACTTCAATAAATATATAATGTTCAATATTAACAGTTACTTTTCCGATTTGCCGTTGAGTCGGTTTGCGGAGGTTTGGTATCCATTTCTATGTGTGTTTTGGTTATATTGATAGTTAACGCACCACTGGTTACATACAATTGTTCAAATAGTTTATGTTTAGTTTATTAAATCAATTATCACTTCACAGTCGGTGTTTCAAGTATTGATAATCTCTATCTATCATTGAAATAGTGTTTTAACTATATTTAAACGTATTTCGTATTCAGTTAGTGAACAAATTTATAAAATCATTTAAAAATTAATCGCGCGATATATTTCAATACAAACATTATTTTTAATATGTAATTAACGGCTGTTTGTAATTAAATCAATAGACAAACCAAATACAAAACAATGTCTTTATAGATGTGGTCCATAGAGTAGGTTATGAACAAATTGTGTGAAATTATCATAAATACAGTGCCATTCGGACTAACAGTGTGTAAACTAATTGTGTATAAAATCGGTAATTGTTTTCAAAGTAAAGTCCAGTCGACGGACGATAGCAGCGCCGAAACAGACAGTAGGACTACACCCGTGACCACCCATTTCAAGCGCGAAGACCCGCAGATATCACCGCCAGTTGATCTCAATCAGCAGCACATGAAAGGGTTGGACAACATCGGCAACTCGTGTTACATGAATAGTACACTGCAGGCGCTGTTCGCCATACCGGAGATCAGACGGCCGGACACCGATCGCTGGCCGACCGACAAGACACGAGAGTTGCACTGCGCGTTGTTGAAGCTGTTCCGACAGTTGGAGACCGGTCGGCAAATAGTCAATAGGCCTAAAGTTACGGCCGCAACGTTCGGGCCGACAGCCGGCACCGGTCGGTCGGCTACCGAGCGATTGCAGGCCATCATCGCTAAGAGAGACACAAAGCCGGCTGTAAACGACTACTCAGACAGTATCTCCGGAGCCGACGACAGTTTATTGGGCTTCACCGCCGACGCCAACGATTACAAGACTAGTGTTGATCCCAAGACTAGTGTCGATCTCAAGACTAGTTTCAATCCCAAGACTAGTGTCGATCTCAAGACTAGTGTCAATCCCAAGGAGTTCTGGAAAGTATTCGTGGCCTTCAAGAAGGAGTTCGAGAGTCGAGTCCAATACGACGCCCAGGAGTTCTTGCGGTTCCTCATCGACGGTCTCCACGAAGAGGTCAATTGGGTGGTGAAGAGGCCGCGCCGGTCCCCACCAACCGCCACGTCATCAACCAATCAGACTGCGAGCGCAGCCGCCGCTGTGACCAACACCAGTACGTCGTCGTGGCTAAAGTACTTGGCTCTCGTCGGCCGTTCATATCTCGTGGACCTATTTGTCGGTCAATTACAGTCGACAATCCGGTGCACGCATTGCGACCATCAGTCCAACTGTTGGGACAGCTTTTGGGACATCTCTGTACCGGTGCTGACGGAGTGGACGGACGGCGAGAAAGATGTCAACGATTGTATCGGTGTTTACGTGAAGGACGAGTCACTGACGGGTGACGCGGAGCCCACGTGCGAGCGCTGCCGACGAAAGCGGCCGTCCATTAAGACTATGAACTTTTCGATTCTGCCGCTGATTCTGATCGTTCACCTGAAGAAGTTCGCCAACGATGGCCACAAAGTGTCCACAAGTGTTAAAATCAATACAGAGCTCACCATCGCTGGCATCGGCTGTCGGGCCAACTATGGCCTCTTCGCCTGTATCAACCATCGCGGGTACAGCTGTTCCAGTGGTCACTACACCGCCCATTGTCTTCACGACCAGCTGTGGTATGAGTTGGACGACGAGACCGTTTGGCTCCGGGACTCGACTAATGCCATCGATTGGAACGCTATGTCCGGCGCTTATATACTCTTCTACCGAAAGGTCGGCCAATAGTTGTGATCACAATATTGTCACACATTCTGTGTATATATTTATTCTGTTTTATATTTATATACATTTCAATCAATTCGTGAATAGTTTTCAATATAAAGTTTATATCTATATATTAAACCAGAATCTCTATAAAAATGAACAAACTTTTGTATTAAATTATTAATAATAATTACTGACAATAGCAGAAATTTAGAGTTTTCAAAAGCGCCCACAAATTAATTAAATTACAAATCAGCGAATATTTAACATAAATTTAATAATAGTTTAAATTTTATTAAAATAAAAATTGTGACAACAAATAAAACTGGTTCTAAATAAGTAATAAACTTTATAAAACATATAGTGATTTATGTTAAATATAGAGTTAATAAAGTTTTCGACTTTTAATAAATTAATTAAATATTTTATTTTAAATATTCTCCGATTTGTTGTTCAATTAATTTGCGGGCGTTTTTCAAACTCTGACTGTCCGTAGGTTTTGAGCCCCAGAAGTCGGAGACATGAGCGCCGCCCTCAATGAGCGCTGTTTTTGTGCTATTGTTTAGGTCTTCGAGAATACCGCTGGCCTTCCAGGGGTCGAGTGAGCCGTTTGTGAGCACAACGTTTGTTATGTTCGGCCGTTTGCCCCCATATGTGGCGACTGTCCGGTCGACCGCTTTTTGTATAGTTTGGGCATTGATTTGTGGTCCGTATACTTGAGTGCATTGTTTAGTCCAAAACTCTACGGGAATGTTGTGCCCAAATGGGCTGTTCGGGAGTTCACTGGTCACAAAGTCGGCGGTTGAAGTGCACAACTGATATATCCATTGTCTCACTAGTCATATAAATTCAATTTTGTTAATTAATTATATATTTAATTACTAATTAAAATACGTAAAACATTATATAACAAGCATATCAATGGGGTGAGAAGTCACTGGCGTGAGAACTCTGCCCTCTGCCATACATTACGTACCGTATTTCCTATTTTTCAGCCATTATACAGTCAAGGACAAGCAAAACTAGGCGCGCTTTTTTGCAATTCATTCTTGAACCGTTAATTTGATTTTAAATCTGTTTTCATAAAATTGCACGCAGATAAATTTCCTAAAATTGATATATGATATGTAATTATAAGTTATTGTTTTGATATACAAATACAGGCTCTAAAATTTATATTTGAACTTGTATCTCGAAATCCAATGATGGAATCAAAGTGATCTGTTCAAGGATATATTACAAAATTTCCGTTGTCATAGTTTGCCATTGACATTATATACAAAATCATCGTGGTTGGTTAGTAATTTTAAGTCAATTTTTATTAAATTTCCAATTGACTATAATGTTAAATTTAAATATCGCCAACATATGCACCAAAATGTTCAGAGTCGAAAATAATTGTATACATGTTTCAGAAATTTTCTTATAAATTACGAATTGCAGAAAATATAGACAATACAGTATGAAAAATTTAATGTTTAAATTGTTTACTATTTAAAATTTACTTGTTCGATTTTAACAATTCATGCATCAAATTACTTAAAATCAAATAGCGAAAAATGGAATTCATCGGATTTATTAATTAAAACATTTTTAAAATTTAACATTAATGTCAAAGGAATGCTGGATGTACATTGCCCTAAAATTACTAATCAACCACGATGATTTTGTATATAATGTCAATGGGAAATTTTGACAACGAAAATTTGATAATAAATCCTTGAAAAAATCACTTTGATTTTATCATTGGATCTCGAGATACAAGTTCAAATAAAAATTATAAATTTAGAGCCTGTATTTGTATCATAATATTATATCAATTTATAGAAAATATATCTGGGCACAATTTTATAAAAACAGATTTAAAATCGAATTAACGGTTCATGAATAAATCGCGCCTAGTTTTGCTTGTCTTTGACTGTACATGTCTTTGTATGTGACAGAGGGGCATAATAAAAGGTGACATTATTTATGAACACTCCTAAAAATCATTTGTACAGTTAATAAAGAGTTCTCACGCCAGTGACTTCTCACCCCATTGATATGTTTTACGTAAAATACTATTATACAGTATGTACTGTAAATTATATATTAATTTATAAGTCTATTACATACCCCATTGGTTGGGATCAATAGTTGTATTTTGTAATACTTTGACATAATCGTCATGAATTACTCTACGGCAAGCAAGTGGTTGACTCGTTACCTCCGGTGGCAATAGACTCCCATACCTTTGCAATGGTGTACCGCCTGAGGGGTCGTTCATTGTCTTAACGATGTGATCGATAGTCACATTGTATTGAGCAGATCCGCCGATATTCATGGCTAACGTTTGCGCCAAATACCGGATGTCATCGATATTTTTGCCGTCAAACGAATCGCACAAATTCAATGTTTTACGCAATTTTACGACTCCTTCCGGTGTTTTCAGGAGGTCCTCCATTTCGTAGTTGGCTTTCCTACCATTGATAACACATTATATAAAATATAATTTATACAAAATTTTATTACTTAATAAAAAAGACATACCTTATATTATCTGAACACTCCTTTCCCAGCGCTTCGGCGGCCACTTGTAAAAAACCGGTACAGTTGGTCGTAGACCCGACGGGTGCGCTCGAAGACACGGCACCGACAGTTATGTTGGGGTACTTCTCCCTAAACCAAACGGCAAGTTTGCCCGAATAGGACAGACCCCACACAACCCATTTGCTGCCTTCAATTGACAACTTTTTGGTCATTCTCAGTATAAACTGTTCCGCGTCTTTGAGCGCCAATTCAAGGGTTAAATATTTCAAGTTTTCAATGGACAGGTCTTTTGTGGGCACAGACCGGCCGTAATACCGGTGCTCTAACATTATGGCCAATGCGTTGTACTTTTTGGCCATTTCCAACCAATAGCGATCGGGATTAGTATAGGGCTCGTCCATTGGAAACTCACCAGATAGAAATAGAAATACTGGTCCACCCGGTTTGTAATGGGTATCGTTATATACATAATAGAGCTATATACAAATATAATTTATTTATAAATTAATTTTTATAATTGTTTGTATATTATTTAAGCATTATTTACCTGTTTAAAAGTTCTGTCATCGGTTTTATTAAAGTGATCCAACCTCTGCTCAAACCAGTGGTCCTGTGGTTTCTCATAAGACTGGTCGTCATTACTAACAACCGGTGGTCCAATAAAACCGTATCTATCTGTCAGTCGACCCATAGATAATTTAATGCCATCATTAGATTCACAATAGGCATAACCTATTAATACAAAACTTAATAATAATGTATTGCAATTCATTTTTAAATATACAATGTAATGAGATATTCAATAAATTAAATAATGTGATTTATATTTTGAAAACAATTCCTATTTATATACTTAACAATTCTATAACTTGTTTGAGTATTTTGTTATCACTTATAAGATAGCATTAATTGGTTTTCAATAATTTCAAGATATTATTTGTTATGAAACTACTTTATAGTACATACGGTCCTTCATTTCACAATTAGTTTATAATTAATCGTTAGATAAATAAAGTGATTGATAAAAATATATCAGCATAAAACTAAATACACCTGTATAAACTAAATACATCTTTATCACTTAATGTCTTGACGTGACTAAATATACGATCAAATCTATTATATGTTTGGAAAAGTTTGAATTTACATTAACATAAATTAAAATGATGTAATAATTTAGGTAAACCACATTCTGCGTATGATTCTGCTTTGAAAATAGTAGTAAATTAGGGTTATATACACATTATGAACGAAAATTCTAATTTACTTGTATATATTAACCGCTGCATTTATAAAATGACCTTTTAAATAAACCGTAATTAAAGTTATCATCAACTTGTAGTGAGAGCTGTGAACCAGATTTATAAGAGATTTTTATTTTGTAAAATGAATAAATGTTTGGCATATTTTGTAATTCACTTATAAGATAGCATTAATTGGTTTTCAATAATTTCAAGATATTATTTGTTATGAAACTACTTTATAGTACATACGGTCCTTCATTTCACAATTAGTTTATAATTAATCGTTAGATAAATAAAGGGATTGATAAAAATACTGTATATCAGCATAAAACTAAATACACCTGTATAAACTAAATACATCTTTATCACTTAATGTCTTGACGTGACTAAATATACGATCAAATCTATGATATGTTTGGAAAAGTTTGAAATTACATTAACATTAATTAAAATGATGTAATAATTTAGGTAAACCACATTCGGCGTATGATTCTGCTTTGAAAATAGTAGTAAATTAGGGTTATATACACATTATGAACGAAAATTCTAATTTACTTGTATATATTAACCGCTGAATTTATAAAATGACCTTTTAAATAAACCGTAATTAAAGTTATCATCAACTTGTAGTGAGAGCTGTGAACCAGATTTATAAGAGATTTTTATTTTGTAAAATGAATAAATGTTTGGCATATTTTGTAATTACCTCGATATAATTGACCGCATTACCGGCTTTCTAGGCTCAGCAAACCCGCCGACATCACCATTTTAGCCGTGTTTTCCATACTCTGGTCAAACTGTGAGCCCGTTTTGGCCAATAATACATCTTTGACGCCATGTTTGGCCACTTTTCCAGACCACAAATCTGAAACGTAATCGGAAAAGTAACTGTTAATATTGAACATTATATATTTATTGAAGTGAACCTTGATATTATTTTGATACTGTATGAGTAAAATGTTTTAATTGAACATGATTATATCAAATTAACTATTCATAATGCTAGTTATAAAATACCCATGGAATTTTTTAAATGACCGTTATCTGCTTATCAAGCAAGTGCAATGTTTGATGTTATTTATAATGTACTTGATTAAATATAAAATAGCTGTTATTTTTAACAACTAATATCTGCTCATTAATCAAGGAAATATTTAATTTTAATCATAATGTATTAATTATTGAGTCTGTAGTGAATATAGTTTACCGATACTCATTTATATTGCAGTTGTACTTGAATTACATTAATGTTTTAATTGTCTGAATACACAGTATAAGGAGATGTTTCTCACAAAAGCTATGGTTTTTCTCAAATGAAATTTAGTTACAATTGAAAACTACTTTTAAGGTATTTCTATAAATTTGCTAAAATTAATATCAGATTTATTTGATTACAATAATATTATTTAATTACAGAATGTCTGTTATATTAAACAATAATTTATTGGATTTAATTTTAAATGAATTAAATACCAAACAATTGTTACGTTTGGAGAGAGTTTCGCAACAATTCGTGGATTGTGTGGGAAGTGCTCTCCAGAGGAAGAATGGGTTAGCGATCGGCGAAATCAATTGGGATGTCGTCTGCAAAGATAAGACACAGTATATAAGTGATGGCAATTTAGATGGTTTTAAAGCAAGAATTGAGACAATACTGAAGAGATGTCCAAATATCACATCACTTTATCTAAACAAATGTCTTCACGAATGGTATGGTTTGCTATCGATTGTTAACTATTGCCCTAAACTCGAATGCTTAACAATTATGGACACAAACGGATCTCTTTATACTGAGGAGGAATGGACAGCATTGGCACAGAGATTATCAATGCTAGCGTTAAAACATCTCACAATTAATTATATTGAGGTAATGGCTATTGATTGTGACAAACGGCTGAATTGGACAACAATTTTGTTGCAAAACTGTTGGCAAACTCTTCGCAAACTAACACTTTATGAATACAATGAGCCATTGAATGGTATATTAAATTGTTTGCCGCAAAACATTAAACAATTGGATTTACGGAAATGCCATGGATTTGATATTAAATCCATTAGATTTGGATTAATTAATAAATCCATTGCATTAATTAG